GCACAGGGGGAGAGGCCAGGACCAGCCTGGGTCCCTCTCTTGGGGGCTGAGCAGGATGGTGAGTGTTGGTGACTCAAGAACCACACCAAGTCAGGAGTCTTCTCAAGGCAAGCACTCACTTTATTGCAACAGGCATCAACTTATATAGTTTAAGCAAAAGGAGTGTGGAAAGGGGGGTGGGTATAGGAATGCATCATCTGGGGCAATGACTGTGGGCCACTGGGAATTTACCATGCCAGCTGTTACTGGGCAGAGGCAATCTTTGATCGGGCTCTGCTGAGTCACCTCCATGCAGAAGTGACAGGCCAGAGACAGATAGCTAAACTTTAGACAGGCTCAGGAAGTTACATTAGGCCTTGGTTTCCTCCATGCCGCAAGTATGAGGGTCCCGAAAGCCCAACAACAGTTGGTTACTTTCTGAGCTCCATGGCATCTGAGCATGGATATAAAGTCATCAGGTAGATTTCAGTGGTATTGTTTTTCACATCTACTAATTATTAAGGAGCAAATTTTTATGCTTTGAAGAATTTTTTTTTAATCTTTAAAAAAATTTAATAACTACTACATTAGAAGAAGCACTTCACTACAGCTTTAGCATATTTAGTAACACACTCCAGAGCAAGAGTACATCTCTTTCACAAGTGACTTACACGTACACGTAAAATAAAAATAATAAATCTTTAAAAAATGGAGTTTAACTTCTGACTCCTGGAAGAAGGAAAATAAGTATATTCTCCATTATGGAAGTGCAGATTCAAGAAGCAATCTCTTCCGTATGAAAGCACTATGGTAACAGGAGCCACCCCTATCCTCAACATGGGAGAGCACTCCTCAATGTAAGTGTTCTTTTCAAATGAGGCAACACAATCTTCAGTTGTTGCCAGTTTAGCATCTACAGCCTTGGACTGTTTTAAGAATTGCTAACTGGTTTCCTTTGCCACCTGTGAAGAACAGTAATGATTCCTGGAATCACTTCTAAGGCACTAAATCTTAGCATCTTACCAAGAAATACTTGCTCTTCTGTTCCGGCAATAGCATATGCCTTGCCATCCTTTGCCATTACATGCTTGCTACTTGGTCCTGCATTTTTAACCCCTTGATCTAATCATCCCCACCTGCTCCACTGTTGACTAGAGTATGTGGTGACCAGTTGCTGTGACTAGTCCTTGTAAGCCATATTAAACTACTTTTGTTCTCCCACCCCTTGGAGACTCAGCCATAATTCCCCTGGGGAGGTGGGGGAAGAATGCTGGGCCAGCTAGATGGCTCAAGGGATAAAGTACTTGCCTTGCAAGCCTGACAACCTGAGTTCAATCCCTGGAACCTACATAAAGGTGGCAGGAGAGAAGACTCCACAAAATTGTCCTCTGACCTCCACAGATGTCCTGAGGCACACATGCACAACAACAACAAAAAATTTTCAGACTTAAGAAAGGAATGTTATATATTCTCAGGATTTATTCTCAGTAGTCACACAAAAAAATCATTCTGGAGCAATATGTGTTGGCACATGCCTGCAATTTCAGCACTGGCGAAGTGGGTCAGAAGGATCAGAATCAGGAGTTAAAGGCCAGTGTCGGCAACATAACAAGTTTGAGATCAGTATGGGCTTTATGAAACCCTCTCAAACAACAACAAAAGTAAATAAGAAAATAATTTTTTAAAATTTATTCTCTTTTTAAAAAATTATTTATTTAATAACCACATATTTAGAAGAAGCATTTCATTACAACAGCATTGACATATTCAATAACAATTTTCTGAGCTAAGATGCATCTTTTCCAAAATTGGCTGTGAATTTTTAGGTTTACAATTGAATTATTACAGTTATACAATATTTTACTCAGTCTAAACCCAATAAGACATAAAATTAAATGAGGTTTTAACCTTTAAAAAAGATCTTCATTTCATTATTAAAATACACAGTTTCATACAGAAAAATTCTTTTTCAATGCAATTGACATTGGATGTTCGCACATGCATTTCTAATCTCTAAATATCTGATTATTACTAGTCACTGTTGGTTACTTTCTGAGCTTCTAGGCATCTGAGCATGGATATAAAGTCATCAGGTAGATTTCAATGGTAATGTTTTTCACATCTACTAATTATTGTTTTTTAATCATTATTTTTTT